AACAAATAAACCAAAACAAAAGATACATGTCAAAGTAGCAGTACAGAGAGAGAAAAGTGACATAGATGTGGTGAAATACTTGTGGAAGGTACAAGGGGAGTGAATAAATGTCACAGCTACAGTATCACTCAATTTTGAGACCTTTCATGAAGTATTGGGGAGCAAAATATATTAAAGCAACAATGTGATGGATCAGAAACATACTGTTGATTGTAACTTATCATGTTCTTCAAAAGGATTATATAAATGAAAGTGATTTTAGGAACTGTCTTTGAAAACAGAAGAAGAAAACAGAGAGACATTTTATAATTCAGAGGCATGTTAGCATGCATATATGTTTATATAAAGTAATATGGAAAGACTACGATATTTTGTCTGAAAGCCATCATGTTAGGTACCAATAATCTTGGATGAATAAAGTAATAACTTGTATATTTGGACTCAAGTGTCTGCCTAAAGAAATGAGCAACAGCTAGAAAACAGAAGCTCCCCCTCCCCAAAAGTTGAGACCAGGGAACACTATGAAACAGATGTAAAATGGTTGATAATACAGGTGTCATTGTTGAAAAACTAGTGGAAATCCATGTTCTACTACCTATCACCGTGTCAATATTTCATTATTTATTCTTTGCTGTGCACAACCACCCAGAATGTGTCTCAGACCTGCATCCTCAGTTAAGAAGCTGACTACTTTGTGAACAAACCTGGGGAACTGGAAGGGCTGGACCCTTGCCTTATAGCTTGGGGACCTTGGCACGCAAAGCAGAGCAGGAAAATCAACCAGCCAAGACCAGGCATGACAGCACAGCTCCTGGAAAGGAGAGAGCATCTGTCCTTCCTGGGGGCACCATATGGATAGTCTGGCCGGACCTAACTGCAGGTTCCCTTGCTGTGCAATTCTCAGCAATTACATCCTGGAAAGAAACATGAAATACAACTATAGCATCTATGCTCAAAAGATTGGTAGCAGTTTATAGTCTATATGAATCATTCAATCAGTGGGCTTCTTGCAGACTTCTTTGCATATGCAGAAGCACAGAAGGAATTTCCAGAGAGGTGTTTAAAAGTTTAACGTAGTGCACAAAAAACTGCTTTCCATAGAGCTCTTAACTGCCAATCCAAGGATTGGTTGCCTTGTGCTTTCCAGTTGTCTGCAAACTCCAGGAGCAGTTTAGGGAACATTTTCAGAGTATTAAACAATAAATCTTGAGGAACAATCCAGCCCTTGATCTGGTAATTCCATGTTTGCTTTCTGCTGATAAGCCCCAGCACTGGATCCAGCATTCCAGGTCTGTATCACCAGTGCTGAGTAGAGAGAAAGAATCACTTCTATTGATCTACTTGTGTGGTTCTTCCAGTTGCAGCTCAGGACGCTGGTGACCTTTGCTACAAGGGTGCATGGCTGGCTTATAGTCAGCTCGGCGCCTATAAGGTTCCTTGGGGCTTTTATGCTATGCTGCTCACCAGACAGCGAGTCCCCAGCCTTTTCTGGTACCTGGGATTATTCCTCAGGTGCAGGACAACTCTATGCTTTTTTTCATTGAACTTCATGGGCTTCCTGTCAGTCATTTCTCCAGTTCTTTAAGGTCCTTCTGAGTGGCAGAAAACCTTGTGCTGTATCAGCCACTCCTCCCAGTTTTGCACCATCTGAAAAAAACCCAGCTTGCTAAGGGTGCACTCTGTCCCATCATTCATAACAGTGTTAAATATCATTGTTCCCAGTATCCATCCCTGGAGCACTCCACCACTGGCTGGCCTTCAGCTGAACTTTTTGCTGCTGACTACAATCCTCTGAGCCTGACAGTTCAGCCACTTTTCTGCCCAGTGTTCACTTATCTAGCCTGCAAGGCATAGACAAATGTGTGTGAGAATTTTTCAGAGATGGTGTCAAAACTCTTGCAAAGCTTGAGGTAAACATCCTACACTGCTCTTCTCAAATTTTAATGAGTCTGTATGTTTTCCTACTGCTTCAAAGATACTTCATAGACAAGGGAGACACTATCATGGGCAGTGGGTCATAAAAACTCTCAGATCCTTTCCTTAGAAAACATGCCCTTTGCCAGTTACTTTTACTTACCAGTAACATAGGCAAGCAAGTCTGGCACTGGTTTTGGGAGACTGACTTCGCAACCTTGAATGTTGACATCCGTCATCTAGCCTAGTTTAAAAGATGAACCAGTGCCACTGCTTTTGGTTAAACTTGCTGTGACTGAGGGGTAGTCAGTGGTAAAGCTTATTCTACCACTAGTCCTGGGAGATTCAGGCTTCCCCATCACCAGCAAGCACTCCATTTAGCACACAGAGTTGTAGTGTCAAAATGCATTAGCACAAACATAGGAGAAAAAAAGCAGAAATCTGTCTCGAGTATGAAACATTAAGTATTTGAAAATTACAATTTAAAGAAAAAGGCTGTGAACATGTAAGTCAGACTAGACTTCCACCTAAGTTCCCTTCTCCAAAGCAGCTGTAGCAGAGAGATGGCAGTGTGATTAGGCTAGCCAGCTCTTTGTGGTACCAACAGCTGCTGTGGCACTTTGCCAGGACACCCCAGGGCTCCATTGCTTCTGAATATGTGTCATTTTGTAAGCAAAACCATGCAGCACAAAAATATATGGTCACCAATGCCAACTCGGCGGACTAAGAATAGATCATCTATGACTGTGTTAACAGTTTTGAATTCAAGAGATTGCAAAGTACCAGGATTACATTTCAGAGAGGAGAGTTGAAGAAAGGGTGGAAAACTAGATGCAGTTCTTGGTTACTTCACCTCACAAAGTTTAACAGGGAAAGAGGCTTGACTTCGGCATGGATGAAGCTCATAGTGCAAAGATAGCTTTCCAAAGCAAAGGGTTATGCTTAGATTTCTGCAAGCCCCCCCTCCCTTGGGGGCTCTTCAACTCACCCTGACAATGGTAGTACCAGGGCAGTCTAGCAGCCCGGTTGGGTCCAGAAACTGGTGAAGGGTGCTTTTCCCCTTTTAAAAGCTGAGGGAGCCAGTTTAAAAGAAAGGTTGAAGGCAAGGATTATGTAATACTCAAGATGAGAGCAATAGTTCGGAAAGTAATTTCTTCCCTAAAGCACAGGAGCATGGGTGGGTAGGTGAGTGAAAGGACAGAAAATCTGCTCCAAACTCAGAGCATCTTTCCATAGGACAACATGCGGGATTTTCATGGGTTTCCTTCACACACAAGACATTTATGATGGAGTCTGGTCCTGCTGAGGTACTGGAAAATACTAAGGCTATAACAGAGGACTTAAATCTCTGCTTAAGTAAGCAGGGAAGATTACTTAAGATGCTGAAGGAGAGATACTGTGGTCAGAAAGCACATTGGTGAAAGCACAGCTACCAATACTGAGGTGTCAACAAGGGCTACTGAAGGCTTGCTTACAGCATTTGCTCCTCTGGGTGCCTGTGATCATGTAGAATCTTACGCAAGAGGAAAAAGGACTCATGAAATTGATGTGATGGTGTAATTTACCAAACTGAACCAAAATACTCTTCTTTCTTGTTTACTAGGCACTGCCGTGCTAGAAAGTCACAATCTCCCTTGAGTATCAGCAAAAATGAAAAGAACACAAGCTAAACAGACCTATGGAGTGTTTGTAAACTAAATTTATTATTAGTTTTAAAACGCATGGCTGCTTTGTTGTAGGGCAGCTTGTCTCAGGCTTGAAGGGTTTGCTAAGCATAGTAAGAGGCTGGGAAGGCAGAACGGGTTGTTATAGTTTGTTTGCACTGTCAAGAAAATATTCATCACAACCTCTCTGAGAGAAGTTTTGATCTCAACGTGCAGAGCTCTGATCAAGAAGTAAAAACCGTCATATACAGAGAGTGGCAACTGCAGTGGATAAAAATTGCTTCAGTCCAAAGTAATAATGATTTAGAGTGTAGATTCTCTCCCAGGGATTGAATTTATACAGTTCAGAGAATACACACTCATGTTGACAGGACTGATTGACCTCAGGGAACCTGCAGCCCATGACCTTCCCTCTCTTAGGTGCAGCTCTTAAGTAGAGCTCAGGCTGTCACTAGCCACAGCACCAAGATCAACACAGTTTTGAGTAAACTAGGGTTCTGAGCAGTGTATCCCAGAAACCTCCTTGCTTTGCTGGGAGTCACCAAACCTTTACCATCCATAGTTGTCATCAACTGTGACATCCATGAACCTGGCAGAGTAGGTTAGGTGGATGCTCTCCACACCCACCCCAAAGGTGGGAACTAGGGCATCTTGGAAATTAACCATAGACTGAAATTCTGCTAATCTTCAACATGCTCAGCTGCTTGCATGACAGCTTTGTGTGGAGTCAGTTCTCAGTGCAAGCTGAGTTAAGCGTGTAATACCAGAAATTCAATGTCTCTGTAATAGCTGTTAAATACTCTAGACTTCATACCACCACCTCAGTAGGTGTTAACAAAGTGTGCTGCCATCAGATGGAAAAGAGTCAAGGAAAGTAACCCAAAACCTAGAAAAACTGAAGAGGGTAGGAAGAACAGTTGTTACTCTTTCTTGAGCATAGAAAAAAGCCTGATACATCGGCTTGGAGAAATAAGGGTACCTCTTACCCATGCTTGATATAAACACAATATGGCTAAGTAAGTGCTGGCTCACAGTAGCCAGTGTCTAGGAAATAAGAACAAGCAAATCAATGAATTCATTTGCTTGCCTTCCAGGAAGCTGCCTGATAGTTTTGGAGCCTCAACCCTACTATCCATCAGCAGGAGGGGCTCCAAGGAATGGGGATATTCAGTCAGAGCCACAATTCTGTTCAGTAGCTTCTGAATGTTACTAATGAGTTAGAGTGTTAGTTAATTTTTTTGAGAGTTCATCATTCACATATGCAGAAAAGCTGTGTCACATCCATATGCAGAATTTGGGTGATATCTTTAGGAACTGCTTTCTAATTACAAACCTACTAAGAGGGAGTTTTCAACAAAACAGACAAACAATGCTGGCTGTGTGACTGTGTGAATGACAGACACCTTCTTTCTTTTCCTCTAGTCTCTCAGCAGGGGGAAAGCCAGAGACGCTTGTACAGAGAACTGCTGCGGAACTACAATCGTCTGGAACGACCCGTAGTGAATGACTCCCAACCGCTCGTAGTCGAGCTCCAGCTTTCCTTGTTGCAGATAATTGATGTGGTAAGTTACTTGCTGTTTTCTTCTCTATGGCACCCATTCAGCATAACAAATCTGATCTCTCATCTAGGAGACATATTCTTCCTCTTATCAGGCTATCAGAGATGAAAGCAGTCTGTCTTTTGCTAAGCATCCTCCCAAAATGCTGGAGTACATGCTTTGACACTTTAGAAGAGTGAATATCATCCTAAAAGCACAGCTAGTTCTGACACAGCATGAGCCTTAAGGAAATGAATTATGTATTTTTTTTCCATTTGTTTTAAACAGAAAAAATAATTCAATCAATTAGAAGCCATGTGTTACTACAAATTATTAATGATACATTCTTCTCAGGGCTGTGTGGGATGCAATAACTCAAGACCATGTGCGCATTCAAAGCTATTATCACTGCACTTACACTTTTTCATTAGATATTATAATGGCATTGGCCTCTTCTCCCATCATATTTTTACTGTGCACTGTGCTGAATGAGTGTGCCCTGAGATGAGCTTAGAAATACATAAAAGTAAAACCTGGAGGCACAGCCCTCTAATTGTCTTGACTGCAACATGCTTTTACAGAATTGGAGATTTGACCCACGGAAAATTTTAACATTATAATCCAAATCCTTTTTTTCATCATGAAGAGGATTCTGTATGATAAACCATGATATATATAGACAGGATTTGTTTCGTCTACATGAGAAAAACAAGCAATTTTGACCATCTTCACCCTGTCAGCAGAGCAAACAGGTGAACACACTAGTGCTCTTATCTTCATCCTGCCTTTTCCATAAGCAGTATTTGGAGCTGGTTTCTGATACACTGTCACTGTTATGGAGGGAATGAGGAATAGACAGAGAGATGTGGAAATATATGTGCAGTCACAAAGCAATTTAACAGAAGCCTCAAATATTTAAGCTTTTTAAAAGTCTCACAATCTTTCTGAAAATGTGTAGTATGCCAGGTGCTCTCCCTGGAGAGGCAAGCAGGACTCTGAAGGTGTAGCCCCCCAGCATCACAGCATGCAAGTGGCAAGTCCAGTCAGCTGTGGTATTCCTGGAGGCAGGCAGGAGCCACTCAGATAGGGTATGCATCTTTCTGTTTTGAAATGTTACCAACTGCATTGAACTGGAAGAGAGAGGAAATCTGTACTATCAACCAAAGGCCTCTACATGAGTGAAAGAGCAAAGATTTCCTGCAGCTAATTTCAAGTAAATTTCAGCAAGCAATTCTAGGTTTAGCAGAGGTGTCTCAGCTCCAAAGATCTTCCTTCAGTCCTTCTTTATTTCATTTTGGCATTTTCTTTCAACCTTATTTGAAGGTTGTGGGTACTAAAGGGCCATAGGGCTGTAACTGTACATTTTCAAAGTCAGGAGGAGTTACATAAAACAATTTTCAACTGTGTTTCACATTCATATATAAAACCCAACCTTTCAGGAAATTGGTATTTTTTAAAAATGCTTTATCTACATTAAGTCAATGCCTATTATAAGAAATGTAGTTCCAGTGTTTCCTTTTGGTTGTCCACAATAGGAAATAGGTATGCTAGATGTTCATACCTTTCAGAAATGAAGCTTTTTTTCGCTACATCTTTGTATTCAGTACAGACACTAGATGTTAATCTGTTTTAATCAAAACCTGTTCCAGGCTTGTGGTCTTGCAAACTGTACCCAAAGTGTTTTAAAAAACACCCAGACTTACCTGAAATTTTTACCTTGGATGATGTGAAAAGGTGCCTGTCTCCTCAGGGCAGGACAAAAAAAATCACTTGGAGGTTGAATCCCTATACTGAAAATGTCATTGTGGCATTAACAATGTGGCTAAACCAACCAGCCTGAAAGTGCACAAAACACTGGTCCCCTGGGTCCTTAAATCAGGAATCAATGCAGAAATATGCCAGCAACAAGCACTGTACTTGTAAGCCCCTCATCCTCCACTGCTGGCTGGACAGACGGCAGTATCTGTCTCCTCCAGCTGCTGAAGTAAATGTCTGTTTAAAAGGAGGCTTGTTATAGCCACAGTGATGTAAAGAAAAGCAGTCAAGCTACAAGGAAGAGGTAACCTCTGTCAGCTAAGACACCATGAGGCAAACTAAGTGGACATCTCTGTTCAATCAAATGGGAGTCTGGGGTGAGTAGACTCTGCCTTCTCAGCTGCTCTGCCTGGTGGAAGACAAAGCACATGGTGCATAGCTCTTCACTTGGGGAAGAGGAAAGACAGCATCACAGTTTTGGCAATGGTGTATGCATTAACAAAGGGAAAAACTGCTCTTTTTGAGGACCTATGTGTCTGGTGTAACATTGCTGGTCTGTCATTGCTGTAACAGAGCAGGATGCTAGGCAGGGCCCCAGCATGAAGGCATTTTTTACATCATACTCCCTGGGAAAAAAGCACTCCATGCTCAGGGAAGTGTCATGTGCCAAGACATACTACAGCATTGCTGGACTCACTGAGATACTTTGCAAGCAGTCACTGCAATGGGCATGAGACAGTGGACCCTGTTCCGGTTTCCCTGCAGGAGAAAACAATGTGAAGAAGATGAAAACAAATCTGTTTCATTGTTGCATGGAAATGAGAAGGGGTCTGCCACTGACAGTCAAAGAACCTTGTGCCTTACCCATGCCAAGACATGTCATCACATCTAAAGCACTTCTATCTGGGACAGGTTCCATCACATGCCTCCATAAGTCTGTTTCCTACACATACTATATTAAAATCTAATGAATCCTAAATTCAACTTCTGCTGACAGACTGCTGAGAACAGCATTGGTGACAATCTAGTTGCACACTGCTACACGGAGAGAAAAGACTGCTCTGAGATCTCTGTGGTTTTCCAAGCAGTAGTACAAGTAACTACTTAAAATCTCACCTCCTCTTCTTAAAACCCATCAAAGAAAATGTCAAAGCATGACTGCTTTGGATTATGTTTTCTGCTTATTTGTGCATGTATTTGCCTACACAGGATATGTATGGTTTTTAGGATTCAAAGCTAGCCATTGTACTCAAAGCTGAGAAGAACATGTTATCTACTTGTCACAGTTGGGGTAGGCAAATGCAAATGAAGACTTGGGGTTCGGACTTCTTCCCAAAATTACATTAATTCATAACTACAGCCATGACAGGCCCATTACATTCAGGAAACAAGTGAGCAGAAAGAGGGACAGCTACATCCCCTGTTTAACAGCAGGGTTCAGTTCAGTTTGCCTTGTCCTCTGTGTGAAAGGCCAGCTTCATGCTGAGCTGTCTCATGTATGCCATTTCTGAGGGTCACTTTTGTTTGGAGCCTGACGTCCAGGCACTCCCTGTGCATCAGGAGGGCACTGGCTGGTGATCTCTCTCACAGAGCACTGTCAGACACTGCCAAGCTCTGCAAACCCAAGCACGGGTAGACATCCAAGAGTACTTGGACCAAAAATTCTCATCTTATTTTGTTTGAGAGCCCAGTCAGTTGATGAGGGTAGAGTAATAAAGAAATGAGGCATGGCATTTTCTACAGCAGAGGAAATGCAAGCGTTTTCTTTTGGCACAATGTGAAAGGAAGCTGCTAGGTGAAAACTATTTGTCATCATGAATGATTGTTTTAATTTCTCATGTTGGCATCTGCAGGAGACCTTATCTGAAGGGGTGTATATGTGGTTGCACCGTTAAATTATTAAAAAACCCAAACATCTGTTGATGTCCCTGCATATGGTGGAGTTCTGTAGTACTTTTCTCCTCCATGTTCAGCCTCCCAGCTGCCACTGTCAGAGGTCATAATGATAAAAAAAGGAATTTCTAGTAACCAGTGGGAAGCCACAAAAGTGCTGAAAAAATTCTCAAGCAATCCATGAGTCATTATGCACTTCCAGAAGCCAAAACATACACAATTTTCATGTATTTTGGGCTGTAAGGTCAAAACAAATACTGTGTCTGGAAAAATTTATTATGGACTGTTCTGATTCAGTTGCAAAATGATTTTTCAGTGTGTAAAATGATTGTACATTCTAGGGACTGTAGGGTTATCTCCAACCTCATGGTTACGATATCACAAGGTTGCAAACAATCTCACTTATAAACTACAGAGGTTGTTGCCATGGTGTATCAAAGCTCTCCACATTTTTGGAAAGCAGCAAGACTAGGTAATGTAGGAGTTTAGCAGAACAATAAAAACAAAGATTCACTTTGGATTTTTTCCCTGAAAACCGGGTCTGTGCCTTGCTGTTCAGAGAAGACAAGAGAAAAGATCTTCACATACTTCACCAAGTTCTCAGGTGCAGTCACTATCACTATAAGCAGCATACTAGCTTACAGCATAGATATTTTTGCCTTCTGTACCCAGACCTTATCAAAATGTTGGATTCAAACTTAAGCTTCCACTGGTTTCCTCTAAATCAAAGAATACAACCCTGAAGGAGTTGGAGTTTTTTGTTATTTTGGGTTGGTTTGTTGGGTGTTTTTAGAAACAGTTTGGTAAGAGACCAACTTTTAAATGCAAGCATCTGTTGACATTGAAGCTCCCTTCACCAGCCTGCTCATTTCTCAGGTGATCTGCTCATCAAATAACAGGACTGTTGAACTCAGTCCTCAGGAGCTCAGACTTTTTTGCTGACGAGTTCTTTATGTGAGTGAGAGTTGCCAGAACTAGAGGCTGCCTGTCAGTATACTGTGCCAGAAGTTAAAGGTGAGAAGGTAGGAGGGGATGCTATGCCTGGCCCTGGGGTGCATCCTGTCTGACACAGCTCTCCTACTGTTAGGTTTTTTACAAAATTTCTGTCAGATCTGAATGCCTTTAGCAGCTGATATCCTTGTTTTTAAATTATTTTGTTTCATAAGCTTTCTAGGGCTGGTTCTGCAGATGTATTGAAAGACCAGAAAGTTCAAGGTTTATTTTCTAGCTCTAATTCACCTCTTCCTTGTTAAACTGACCTTACAGCATCTAGGTCATTCCCTCCCACCTTTCATTCTACATTCTCACACATACAAAAATCTATGCTGTGTGTTATGTTGTAAACCCAGATCAACATACAAGCAATTCAAGGAAAC